TGAGTTTTTCACTTGAAATCATTCAAGGACTTCTCAAAACTAGCTCTCATCTACAAAATAAATGGTTGTCTTTGACCCCGAAACATAGTTCACACATGGTTTAAAGAATAGAGCATAGAGCAGAAGTTCTGTATAAGCACTAACCTTCTCATAACCCTTCACTCCCAGCCACCCCCACTCCCTTTCCCCACAATGAGACATACGTGAGTAACTGAGCATTATCATGACTTTTGCGCTTCAGCAAATCTCTTTTTCTCCATTCTCCAAATGAGTCCAAAGTATCATATGCTGATAACGTCACGTTACTCAAATCTCCGTTGGACCAAACTTCTAGGGCAACCAGTGCTACACGAATGTACAAATATCTGTAAATCTGTCAGGTGGACATGACATCAATCAGAAACTGAAACACAAGTAAACTTTGAGAAACATTTCAACATTAAAAAGCAACTAATATTGGCTTCTATAAGCAGGTTTCTTCTCAGAGATCATTTTCATAATCAACTGAGCTTGGAATAGGCTGACTCTGTCCATCTCTTTCTAATCTCCTAGTTCAGAACCATTAACCACAGCCTGAAAGAATCCAGCTACAGATATAGTTCTGATTGAATTCTTAAAACACTTTTGGATTTGCATCCTCCCAACACAGTGGCTGTGTTGGGCTTCACTGTCAGAAAACGTCAAAGGTTCAATAAGCCACCAACGATAGCATTCTTGTAGAAATCCATCTTCTCTCTCTTTACCTGGCTAAGTGTGTTATGTTAACACAGTGAAAATCTGGGCTGGGCCTGAGAGATGTTTAATATCAACAAGTGAAATAATATTTGCCATGTCTTCTTACCTCATTTAAAGTGTTGACAATTTCATATCCCCATGTTTTTACTTCAGTTAAATTGCTGTTGAATTTCGTGAACTATAGAAAAGTTAAAAATGTTAAGATGAGATCATAATTATAGGAAGAAGGGAAAGAAGGAGGAAGAGAAAGAACATATCAGTGAAAGGATCATTGAATTTGTTTATGTAATATGAATTTTTATCCAAGCAGTCCAAAGTATTCTTTTGTGCTGATTTTTTAATTTACATTTTTGCCATTAATATATTAAGGTTTTTAACTTTTCAGCAGCATACATGGGCTTTTTTCCTGGTTGGATAAAATTTTGGTCAGCCTACTGAAATGCTTTCCTAAATTGGATGCTATATTTCCATGTTCAGAGATGTGTGAGATAAGCATTTTTCACTACACATCTGTTTCTTCATGTGTTGTCAATTTGGACAGCCAAAGAATGCAGGAATGTCTCAAAGAAACCTACAGAACTGTTTAACCAGTGTGGGATAAAAATAAATTTAGATGGTATCCAGGAAGAACAAATGTGCAAATTAGAGTATATTTACAAATGACTCTTAACTTTGTAAATATTGGTTGGGTCCAATAACAAAAAATATCAAAGTTTATGATAAAGCACATTTTAAGAGACAGCCAGTTAGGATGTTTATTAATCTCTTCAAAAATGCCCACATTAAAAAAGGCAGAAACAAAATGCTGTGCTCAATGCAGAAAGAAAATGGAGAGATATCCAGGATACTTACCATTCTGTAGTCCGCAACTATGACAAGCTCAATGAATCTGAAGTGGTTCAAGTATCTTTGTTGCTAAACAGAACAATAAAGAAAAGACTGTTTAGACATGTTGCTCCCAGCAGCCAACAGGAACACTGGTCATCATCAGAGCAGGCCTGTTATTTAATTTGATTTTAGAACAGAAATTTGTGTATATTTATCGTGGTTTTTATTATCGCCTGTTCACCGCCCTGAGTCCCGTAAGGGAGATAGGGCGGTATATAAATTCAATTAATAATAATAATAATAATAATAA